ATTAAATCATACTCCAGACGCTCCCAAGACACAGGCCCAGCAGTGAGGTGTATATTAATGTGAGAATGGAATGTTAATTACTAAATAAATGCCAGAGTGTCTGGAAATCAGAAGAGAAGTGTGAAAGGAGAGAACGTCTGTGTAATAATATAACTGAAGTCGATAAGGTAGTGAAGGACATTTGAACATCCTTCACATAAATGTCTGCAGTGAACAATAAACAGACAATGACACTAATGAGGCTGCATGAAAGTAATTGACTAACAGCCAACTGATGAACATGGATTACCATTAAATAGATTTATTTAGAACCTTTCATACAACGTGACTTCCCAGATTATTTCACGAAGTATGAGACTAAACTACATAAGGAAATTAAATAGAAGGCCAAAATATTTTAATTTGCTCTATACAAGTTGTTGTTGCTGGTGAAGGTTAACAAAGTGACATTCCATCCTGTCAGCCTGATGAACCATGGACCCAATAACATTTCCCACCTGTCAGACTTTACTCTCTACTATGCACCTAGCCTCCGCCACCCCCAAACTGCCAGATGCTCTCACCTCACACTCGCTATGCAAAGCACACATTCAGCTACCTGATACCATCTCGAATGAGTGGGTATCAACCTTTACCATCTGGCATCCTACCCATTACCACCATCACCCCACCCCCTTTGGACCCTGGTACCCTAACCTCACTCAGTTTTACTTCTTACTCTTTCATAGAACATGGTACTCCAACACTGACCCCCTTTGCAGAAGTTACTGTGCCAATTCTCTTTGCTGCTGGACTTATAGATTCCTGGATAGGTTCATAAAAGGAGGTCCCTGATCAGGAACTTCCAGTGAGAGAACATCTGAAGGTACTTGGGTAATTTTTAAAAAAAAATGTGATCAAGGCCAGAAATCAAGTCTCTGAACTTGACTGAAATACCTGGGCCGCTATTTTAGTGAGACCTTGGTCAAGCCCGGGCATAAGCTTTAGATTATGCTGGAAACAGTTTCTTTCAATGTAAATTAGATCATTTTCTTGTAGAAAATAACATTTCAGAACATAGTTTATGACTTATTTGAGTAAGTAGATATGAAAAGAGTAGCATGCTTGGGAAGAACAGATGGCTTTGGATCTATGGTTCTCAAAGATCTTTCCCCAGTGTTTTCATGTTATGTCCAGATCTGACAAAGACTAATTGATAGATCAATTGCTATGATTTGTTAACAACACCATAACTACCATATCATGTAGTCATCAGGATCGTCCAAAGTGAATCAGTTGGACTTTGGTCTTCTGTTGTCTAGCAATTTCTATAGTCCCATGGCCAAAGTTGATGTATGCACGTTAAAAGAGTCCAAAAAGGTAGTTGATGCACTGAATTAAGGACCCAGTCCTTTCATCTCTGGGTGATTGTTTTTGATTGATGCCATTGATCTAGGCTGAAAGTGTCTAACTGTTTTTAAACATGCATAGGAGACAGCCTACCTCTTTGAATATTGATAAACATAGCCCAATGACACAATTATCTATACTTTCACACAGACTGGCAACCTCACTCCGGTTGTAAGATGCCTCTAATGTAAAATGAAAGCATTATTAACATTTTAGGGAGTAGCCTTTAGTGTAAAATATTAATGCACAACAGAACAGCATCAAATCAGCAGGTGGTTACACTATATCTTAAATATGAGTCTTTCAAGTAAAAACTGGGTAGCCAAACATTCTGGTCTCCAACACTGGGACCAAGTCTTTGATAAGTATCTGATGTACAGAATTCTGCACATCTTCCATTGAGATAATGGCTCAACAGTATTTAATGATAAGAAAAATTCAGTCTACATCGTTTGTTCACATGTATATAAGCTTGTTGGCATGAAGTTCAAATCTTGTAAACTGTGTAGGGGGGAAAAAAATGAGGGAAGCATGAAGTATCTTTGAATCTACCCTGCACTCACTTGTTCACTGGCACAAGAAAATTGCAATTCCATACAAACTGCTGTTTAGCATTGGACTAAGACTGTATCTGATAAGACAGATCACTTGCTTCGCAATATGCTCTTTCTACACTTGGCTGGGTGCAGACACAAAGAGCAGTATGGCACAGGAAGAGGCCCTTTGGCCCACCAAGCCTGCACTGACACACGATGCCTGTCTAAACTGAAAAGTTTTTGCTTCCACACAGTCCATATCCCTCTATTCCCTGCCTGTTTATGTATCTGTCATCATGTCTCTTAAATGTTGCTATTGTAAATAATGTAAATGTAAATAATGTGTTGATTATTTCTTTGCTTCAGTATGAGACAACCTCAAGGAATTTATACACCCAGTACCAGGACTGAAGTCATTACCTGAAACTTTGCAGACTTTTTGTGGAAAACAAGTTTCAAAAGCAATGCAACTGTAGCTGGAAAATCAGCCATTACATACAGGATGCTTTAAATTGAACCAAGTGTATTTTTTTCATTACAGGGTTTTACATGTAAATATTCAGAAAGACACAGCAAAACGGAGGATTTCAGACTCAAAACAATTTTAATTTGAATCCAAGAAATCATTGGTCTTAAAAGACATCACACATTGATTTGTCACAAATTTTGCAGCTGATAATTTAGATTTATCACCAAGCCAACATATTTACAATTTTCTTTCCCATCTTGACTCAAATAGTAAATAAATGCCACTGTAGAAGGGAAGGAAACGTAAGCAAATCAACATTTGTTCTTGGTTGCTAAAAGACATCTGTCACGGGAGAACAAAGTGCAGCACTCATTTCCCTGCTGGCATCACATTACTAGAAAGGCAGCCATTTGCTTGTAGTAAGTAAATCAATTTTGCCCTTATACAGTGCCAAGCAATGGCAAGGCACTTTCCAGACTCAAGAAAACTATAATTTTATTCTACTTTATACCTCTCTGTCAATATCCTGTCTCAGCCCACCCTCCTTCAGATCAGATGCTTTGCTGAGGTTGCTTTCATCAGTAGAGTGTGGCATATGTTTAGTTGCTTAGTTAGACAAGTGTTTCCAACCCTGCAGAGGATAAAGATTTTCACTCCTGATCGTTTCGACTAGTGAAATTAAATAGTTTAAAAGTATATCTTAAACCTGCAACTGCTAGATTCATTTGAAGTTTGGGGGATGTGTGCTCAAGTCTCACTGCAGGCTTAAAATACTAATACAAGAAACTGCATCACTGATGAAGCAGGTGTTTTTTTAGATGACACATTAAACAAAATATCCCATTTACTTACTTCATGGGTGAGTGGAAGAGACTAGAAATAGGAGACTAGAATTAAGGGATAAGTTTAAGAATAAGATGTCTCCCTTCTAAGACGAGGAGGAGAATTTTCATGAGAATTGTTAAATCTGTGGAATTCTTTTCCTCCAAAAGTAGTAGAGGCTGTGTCATTAAATTTATCCAAGGCACAGGTGGGTAATTTTTTTGATAGACAAGGAAGTCAAGGAGCGAGGGAGGTGGAAAGTACAACAGGAAGGTGGAGTCGAGACTGTAATGATATCAGCTATATTCTTATTCAGTGATAGGTCAGACTCGAAGGAATGAATGACCTAATCCAAAGTTGTATGTTCATATTTTTATAAAGTAGTTAATTTGGTGTGTGATGACTTGAGCATGAAGAATTGGTTGTAAATTTCCATTCATAATGAACAATCATACTTCAAATGCAATCCATTACCTGAAGTACTTTGGGATGTATATTACAGGTGACATTATAAATATTAATTTCTTACAATGCTCCCATCAATAATTACAAATAGTCGGAATTTTACATTGCAGGCTGAGCAACTGGGAACAGATCATTACACCCATTTGCAAGAACATGAAAAATATTAGTCAGCTTTTCACCCTTCCACCCAACACAAACCTTCCCTTTTGCTCTTTTCACACTGTTAATAATCACCATTTCTCTCACCAAAGTTGCTAATAATACCGGAGTATTTCCAGTACTATTTCATTTCCAGATCACTAAACCTGGCACACACTAGGGGATAAAAAATCTGCCACAGTTCCACACTAGACAATGCATTTGACACCTGAACCACAGGATGCTGTTTTGATTAAATTAGAAAGCATTTGACAAAATTAACTTTCCACAAAAAAATGGTACAGGTAAGAAGAACAATGTGCCATTTTAATCAGTGATGTCAGAATCGGAGCACTGGAGCAGTGAAGCATTCAATCTTATTCATGATACTGCCTCACATTTAAAATGAAATTTTTTTTGTTCCTTTTAAAAAAACAAGTTTTTTTTAATAATTAATTATGCACAAAGATCTACTGGAAAATCAACTGTAGATTTGGGAAGGGCTGGGGAAATCAGCATCAGGAAGCTACACTACACACGAGAGAAGAAACTTGCACGTGTTACTATAATAGAAAAAAAAATCCATGCATTCCAAAGACATCAAGACCACTTTGCATTTGTTTTTATGCACCATCCCACGAACAACTACAGGAGTGCTTTGTCATTTTAAATATAGTGGGTTCCAGTTGGCAAGTACTACAGGTCTAGATAAATCAGGCAAACAGAATACAGTTTATTCAAACCCAGTATGTTAAAATACATACATATAGGTTTCTCCAAAGTTACCTGTCCAGATATATTGATGATACACACATTATTTTTGTCCATTTATTGCAAAATGCTTATGCTACATTTCATTGGAAGAGAATAAAATTGAAAAATTTTACAATCCTTGTCCATGAAAAGGGTCTTAGACCAGTAATCAATCTGTGACCTACTTCTAAACTGTTGTGAAGTAGAATCACTGAAGGTCCTGTTTTGCTAGAAAGGTAGCTTTGCTAGTAACATTTTAGGAAACTGAATGTTATTGCCAGGTGACAATGAACACAGAATTTTAGACAAATTAGATCTAGGCATACAGTCATTTTCCACAGAAAACGAAGAAATAGATCCATAACCTCAGAAATGAACAGTAAACACTGTTCTTGCAACATTAGAACAAAATAACCAGAACCAAGAAGTCCCTTTTTAAGAAAATGTTTTATTGTACAACTTCAGTAAGCAAAGATACTTAGCACAGCAAAGATTGATCCAATCAATATTTTTTATATAAACACTATTGTATATAGTCACTTTATTTGAAAAAATTATGAACTCTTGCCGTGTACAAAATGGCAAAGCTGTACAACTGTGCACATTGTGCTTAACAAATGCAAATCGGTACAGCTCTATAACACTGTCTTGCCCTGTCAACAGGCAACAGCGTTCAGTAAACAGTTTATTGCATATCCAACGTATAGTTCAATCAACGTGTAAAAATACAAGTTAAAATGATAAAAAATACAGTGTGAATGAAAATAGCAGCTCTCAGTGAAAGTCTTGCACGCTGTCCAGAGAGGGTACATCGGCACAAAGTCTACTATTGTGCTTGTGTTTTCTGTTTGCATATACCCAGCTGCATCTTACATTCTAATACATCCAATGAGAGAATGATTCGTAATAAGAGTTATGAACAAGACCTTCTCAGGTGCAGAGCAGTTTGGATGTTTTTTTTCATATAATGCTTTGGTATTGACAACACTTAAACTCAGAAGAAAAGATGATTTAGAGCCATGAACAAAATACCCCAATAGGAAGAGGAAAAGAAACACAGAAGAACACATTTTTTAATACAACACCATCACCAGTTTCTTTACGAATACCATGGGTTGGGAAAAGAAAAGGAAGAAGAAAATGCAATTCTGCATACAGAGAACATTATAGCAATGGGAAAAAAACTTGGATAACAAAATATCAAAAGCCAAATATTTCTATACCTATCTAACTGCCATAATGAACGTCTCTCAAATATATACCATTTAGTTAGATTAAACAGATATCAGTTTTGGAGAGAAAATAAAAATTAGACTGTTAGATAATATATCATCCAACATAACCAGCAACTTGATTTGCAAATAATTTGCTTTCTGTATGCTTTACCTTTTAAATAATACTGTATTTGAGCAACATACCTTTAAACATTGGAGACTGATCCTATTTTTTAATCAGCTATTACATTTTGTCCACTGACTTCCATATTTCTGTACAAAGGTTGGATAATCCTTAGCATGGATAGCTCAATAAAAAGGGGAAGGGAGATTGTCTAATTTCTTTAACTTGATCATTGAGAATTTTGTTCTATATAGTTAATGCAAATCAGTTCACTGATAATTATTGAGGAACAGTAAAAAAATCAAACCTGTCAAGTATGAACTTTTTCTGGCTCTATAAAGAATCTGGAGGAATATCAGGAGAAAGTGGAAGGTGTAGCTTCCAAATAAGCCAGCTGTAACTGTATCAAATGGATGCATTAACACTGAAGTAATCTCCTCATTCCATGCATCATTGCTAGTAACAGCCAAACACTGGTTTGGTTCCATGTATGACAAAAAGAAAAAATTAGGTTTTTAAAAAGGGCAAGATTTCCTTCACCTTCATTTAGACCTTTGTTTCCTATGCCACCAAATGATAAAATTAGAAGGTAACCCAACTTAGACAGTTTTACTTTATTTTAAATATGCTCAACGCAATGTCTTTCTCCCACTCACTGGTCACTATTTTGGGTTTATTTAGAAATCCATAACAGTTGAGAAATACTAGAAAAAAAAAGATATATATTTTGAACTTGGGAGAAGCTCTGGCAATCAAAACAGTTATGAAAATATTCTTACTTTCACAGTTTGTAAACGATTTTGACATTCAAATCCATTTCTGGGCTGGTGATATTTTCCTTCCAAACACACACCATCTTAAAATACAGTAACATAGATTCCCTCCCCCCATGCCATTTTCTGGTTCATAACTATGAAGTTTAAGCTATGAAGTAAAGAAAAGAAAATCAGAAATACAGACATAATACACTAAAAATATCAACAGGTTAATCAGCACCTGCGAAGTTCGGTTGATTGCTATTTTATGTATTATCAGAAATGTTATGTCAGAACCTGTTTTTTCTCTTTTTGGTTGCAGACCTACTTGTGTATTTCCTGTTTTTAATCCAGGCCACAAATGTTTAAAATCACACAGTTGGCTCCTTATTTCAACATCCCCATGACAAGATTCTTTTATCACATTGGTTATCTTAAACTGGGAGGGAAGCAATGGCCAATTCACATAAACAATGTCACTGCAATCAAACGAGACTTTATAAACAAAGCCTAATTCTTTGAAGATAAGCATAATCATTACAATGTGCCCTCTAAAGAAAAAAATAATTCTAAGATGATGTTACACAAATCAAGACAGAGTTCTACATGAATGGAGGAGTGGATTTAAAAAGTGGAGGCAAAAGAAGAGTGGAAATGGCACCAACCACCATATGGAACTTATTGATTCAATTCCCCCTTGCACTATATTACAAGTTCCATAAAACATTTATATTACTATATTTGTGCAGTCACTTTTTAAATTTTTTTGTGTTGTGCTTTGCCATGTGCATCAAAAGCTAAATGAGCAATAAGCTTTGAAGGACCTTGTTAAAACATACAATGGAAAAATATTCTGTGCTAATTAAACACACTTAAAAGATACATTTTTACAAAGTTCATGCTACTAAATGTGGTTTATAAGAACAGCCTCACTCTAAACAGAAAGTAAAACAAAAACATGCCAACAAACCACCTTAGGGGACACTCACAATAGTCAATGTTTTGTTAGTTGTACAAATTAATACATTTGTTCGGTTCTAGGGATTGGGAACATAGACAAGGATAGAGAGCCTCTAAACAAAAAAATTGTTGAGACTGGTGCCATAATAGAAATTCTAAATGGATGTTAATTTTGAAAAAAAAAACACAACTTCATCTATCTTTAATAAAAATACATGACATGATATTATTAAATGCAAAATGTTAAAAACAAAATCAGTGAAGAAAACCAAACGTAAAAACAACAAAGACAGAAATAAAAACATACAAGTACAGCTGAAAAGGGTGAAGTGCCAGAAAGGGACTGCAAGTCTTGAAAGCTTAAATTACCTCCAGTCAGTGAGCATCTCCACTTACAGAAAGGCAAATACAAACAAAAGGATGTTTAGATAGGGATAATTCTTCACCACCATTTGATTCTTCTTCCCCCATTGTGTTACTGATTGTTACACTTAAAATGTGCCATTTAGAAGATGGCAGGGATACAAAAGGTACTACTCGTACACTCAAAAATGTTTAAATTAAGGAATTCTTCCCTTATATATTATATGTATGATTCATAAGATTATGTTTTGGCTTTCAGCTCTAGTTGTGCTTTGCTCTCCCTCCTTTTAAATAGGATTTCCACCTCTTTAAAAATTCCTTAAAGATAGGCGCATCATCAACTGTGCTCAGCAGTTGTAGCTGGTTGATGTGGGTGGTGTGGTAGTCCCAACGTGCCAAGTTTGGAGCTGTACCAAGCATGAAATGGCGGAGATCATAGATTGTTCCTGAGCCAGTGTCATACAATGGAAGCATGGCTTTCAAAGACTCCATGCCTCGTTCATACAGTTTTTTAGCTTCTTGTCCTAGTTTCTCACCTGCAGTTTCTTTGAGGTCATATAGACCCAGTAAAGAGTATATGAAACCATTCAGAACAAATGAGCTGGGAACAGTTGGGTATTCTTCATACCAATCATATTTATTCATAAACACAGCTTTTACCCCGTGATCCTCTGACTTGAGGGTGTAGGGCACTACTGCCTGCAAGGCTGAATTGAGGTACACTTGTTCCTTTGTAAGCAAATAGGCCCTTACAAGTGTAGACATGGCCTGACCTTGTGCCATAGCTGAATACCAGCCAGGCTCCAAAGACTTAAAACCCTCACCTAGCTTACGGGTCACCATAATGGGCCAGCCACCTTTTTCATCCTGATTTCTTACCAACCAATCGCTGGCAGCAAAGAAGGCAGGCATGTGTGCTGTGGTTGCTATTGTGATGTTGTCAATAAAGCCTTTTCCCTTGGCAATCAGCTTTATAACTTTCTTGGGCATTATTTTAGTCTGCTTTACAGCCTTAGTGTTGGACAAGCCAACCCCTTTCTTCAGGTCAGTTACCAGATCTCGAGTAAGAGTACTCCAGCTTGTCCGTGGGCCTATGCCATAGTAAATGTCTTTGTCTTTGAAGGCTATAAGTTGTGTGTTTGTGACATAGTGAATTGTAAACAGCTGATTCTTTTCAGTTGTCTCCAGTACCACAGAAATGCTCCCATTTGTTAAGAATTTAACATCAAATGAAATGATGAAATCTTTTGCATTTCCTAACATCAGGTAAACCCCATCCGAAGATTCTGAAAAGAAACAGAGATCAATTTAATATTAAACTGAAAATTTTGTAAAATACTAGAAGTTTGTTTGAGCGCAGCAACTAGCTTTCTATTATAATGTGAAATTATATTTGTGAAGATGTGTCTATTCATACCACCTTTTCTATTCTTAACAATTACTCTAATTTTCAAAAATCATCATTACAGATGGCTTACCAAATCACATTTTACACTTTCACTTTAAAAATGCTTAGTTAGTTATTGTACATTACAGCAGACAAGTTGAAATGTGTTGGAAGGTTTAACTTTCACCTTTTGTCGATGAGGCTTTTTCTAGAGTTGGATCAGCGAAATACAGGATTTTGCAGATGCCATGGGTTTAAAATAATTTCATTCTTAAACACCAAGATAATTTTCAATGTGGGAGATTCTAATTTCAAGTAGTGGATCGTCTAAGTCCTCTAAATACTATCCGAGACTGTATAATTTTCAAACAACTCCAGCTTTCATGAATTAGAGCAATGGAAATAACCTACCAGCTTTTTACCATGTTAATACTCAGCCTTTGCTGCACAATTCATTGTGAACTTAATGCACTCTGCTGAAAATCATTTGCATTTTTTTAATCTTTGGTTTCTCAGGTCAGATAGCTTTGAGATGTCAGCTAACAAGGGAATAGAGCTTAAAATTTTCTTCCCATTTTTGTCTCAAAAATCAATGCATGAATCACTTGTAAATCCATTAGTTAAGACATTCTAAGTTTAAGTGGATTTGTCTGTGGCCTGTGGGATCTTGAATTTACTTTGCCATCAATAAAAGGGGAGTCTTGAAAATCTTACAGGCTTCATAATATAGTTTGCCCTCCTTTCTTACAATGTCAAAAGCTGGAAACCTCTTCACAATTTTCTTACAAAGATCTCAGGTTTTGGTGCTGACAATAATTATTTTGTGGTCTTTCTTCAGTAGCAGACATGTTAATTCTAACAAGTATTGATCAGTAAGATAAAATACCTGGGGTGGTGAACTGCTTTACGTTGCTTGATCTAGTTTTGTCAAAGACCGTAGAGACCGTACATCCCTTTGGCATAATCCAGTCATTTTGTCTCGTGCCTTTGTCTCTCTTCTCTGCAATTTCATACACTTCAGTATGTGGTGGTCTCTCAGTGAGGTTTTTACTGTAGTGACTTAGCCCATATTGTGCTATCTGAATAGGGTAGAAATAACCCTGAGGTCCCCACTGAGTGGACAAAGGAACACCTGAACAAGAGAGGGGCAAAAAGTCATTAGGGCAAAAAATGAAAATAACCCACAAACAATAAAATGAAGTTCTAAAAAATTACTTTTTGAAATAGGCTTGCCAGTAAAGACCAGGACAGCATAGCTATATCAAACCTGCATGAAGCCTACAAAACATCTTATATACTGGAAGAAAAAGCAAGTAAAAATTACATTTAAAGAAAGCAAATAAAATGATGCCATTTTCCCTCAATTGTTCAACAGTCAAGCAAGAATTGTTCTTGCTTTTTTCCTCCCTTATACGAGTCTTTAGGCTGCAATGTCACTAAATCTTCCACTATATTCATAGAATCCCTACAGTGTGGAAACAGGCCCTTCGGCCCAACAAGTCCATACTGAACCTCACAGCATCCCACCAAGACCCATCCCCCTATAACCCACCTAATCTACACCTCCCTGAACACTACGGGCAATTTAGCATGGCCAATCAACCTAACCTGCACATCTTTGGACTGTGGGAGGAAACCGGAGCACCTGGAGGAAACCTACGCAGACACGGGGAGAATGTGCAAACCCCACACGGACAGTCACCCATGGCTGGAATCGAACCCGGCTCCCTGGCGCTGTGAGGCAGCAGTGCTAACAACTGTGCCACCGTGCCACCCACTATGTCTGCAACTTGTTTGGTTACCTTGCCTCAAGGTTTTTTCAATCCATTGATGGATGCTGACTAAAGTCCCAGATTGCCGTTCTCAAGTCTTCTACTGAGGTTACCAAGATTTGAGTTTACAACATAAAACCACCTGCATCAACTTGCAAGTTGTACCGCATGGCAAATTTTAAAATCCTGTTTTGATAGTGTAGTTACTTTTTCCTGCTAGATAAATTTCATATAAATTTTCACAAAGTCTATTCTAATGAATGGTCATGCAGAGAACAATACTCAAGTTAGATGCCAGTGATGCATCAATACTCTACAGCCATTTGGATTCATTTTTTCATAGTAATCAAACCGAGTTTAAGGTTGGGTACTTAATCAAATTGGATTATTACAATCACAAAGTATGTTAGTAACAGTACTTTACTTGGGGAAAATGCACTTGAATCAATAAACACTAATGAGTGACAAAAGCTCAATATTGTAGATGCAGGAAATCTGAAATTCAAACAGAAATGCTAGAAATATTTAGCATATCAGACAGTATTTGTGTAGAGAGAAATAGAATTAGTGTGTCAGGTCTTTTGCCTCATCTGCTGAGTATTTCCAGCATTATTAAGCTCTAACATGCGATTTGCTTTGAGATTTGAAAACAAAAATTACAGCCTAACAAAGTAAAACTTCTAGGTTGCAGTATATTGCAGGTTTTACTTCCTGATCTTTTAAGATTCAAGATCTCACAGGGTTCAGTAGAGTTTGACTTAATAAATAACATGAACTCATATTGCAATTTTCACAACCTCGAAATGGCCTAAAAATGTTTTGAAGCCAATACCTTTTGTCATATGGACACTGAGAATTGACAGAATTTAAGCCTAAGGATACAGGTGTTCTTGCTCTCAATTTACCACCTTGAAGTTGCACCCAATAGCAGTGGCAGCTTTTTGTTTTAAAAATTCACTCGTGGGACATGGCCGATACTGGCTGGCCATAATTTCTTGCCAGTCCCTAAATGACCTTCAGGAGGTGGTGGTGAGCTACCTTCTTGAACTGCTGCAGTCCATGTGATGTAGGCTGACCCACACTTCTATCGGGGAGGGAATTCCAGGATTTTGACCCAGCAACAGTGAAGGAAGGCTAATATATTTCCAAGTTGGGATGATGAGCGACTTGGATGGGAACCTGCAGGGGTGCTGTTTCCATTTATCTACTGTCCCTGTCCTTCCTAGATGAAAGGGGCTTTAGGTTTGGTTGGTGCTGTTTAAGGACCTTTGGTGAATTTCTGCAGAGCATCTTGTAAACATTACACACTGCTGTCACTGAATGTCGGGGCTGAGAGTGTGGATGTGTTGACAATCAACTGAATGCTTTGTACCGCATGGTATCAAGCTTTTTCAGTGTTGTTGGAGATGCACCAATCAGGGCAAATGGGAAGTATAATCAGATCTGATATAACACAATAGTTGCATTATTGCACAACCTCGTGCTATAGAAAATCATGCAATAGCTGCAACATTTAAAGTGATGGGGACAGAATTATAGCCAACACAGGTAGGGAAAGCATGTGTTTTACAAATAGCGTTCTCCTATTCTTCAATCGCACTACAGTCAATTCGCGTTGAAGAAACACGAGTTATATCAGAATCGACTGTATTCCTCACATTGCTGACTTGTGCCTTGTAGATGATGGACAGGCTTTGGGGGTTCAGGAGGTAAGTTACTCGTCACAGTATTCCTGGCTTCTGAACTGCTCTTGTTGCCACTGTGTTTATATGGCAAGTCCAGTTGAGCTTCTGTCAATGGTAATCCCCAAGGATGTTAATAGTGGGAGATTCAACAATGGTAACTCAACTGAAATGTCAAGGGGCAATGGTTAGATTGTCTCTCATTGGATACGGTCATTCCCTGGATTTAATTGGTGAAAATACTACTTCCCACTTGTCAGCCCAAATCTGGATATTGTCCAGATTTTGTTGCATTTGAACATGGACTGCTTCAGTATTTAAGGAGTCGCGAATGCAGCTGAGCATTGTTCACTGATGATTGCACATTCCCACTTCTGACCCTTATGATACAGAGAAGGTCATTAAGGAAGCAGTTGAAGATGGTTGCATCAAGGTCACAATCCTGAGGAACTCCTGCAGAGACATCCTGGAGCCGAGATGTCTAACCTCCAACAACCACACCGCCTTCCTTTGTGCCAGGTATAACTCCAACCAGTGGAGTATTTTCCCCCTTGATACCCATCGATTCATTTTGCCAGGGCTCCTTGATGCCATACTTGATCAATGCCACATTGACATCAAGAGCTGTCACTCTCACCTCAAGTCTGGAATTCAGCTCTTTTGTCTGTGTTTGAACGAAGGCTGTAATGAGGTCAGGAGCTGGGTGGCCCTGGTGGAACTCAAACTGGGTGTCGCTGAGCTGGTTATTCTTGAACAGATGCTGTTTGATAGCACTTTTGATTACACCTTCCATCATTTTACTGATTTAGTGGTGGGGGTTGGTAACTGGCTGGGTGGAATTTGTCCTGCTTTTTGCGTACAGGACATACCTGGGCATTTTTTCACATTTGCAACTAACAGTAGATCACATTAGCTTTAGATTAGATCACCTCAAAATGCTTTCCAGATATTATTCCTGGAATTAGAAGGTCAAAATCCATAACTCTCCTGATTGTTCTTGATGTGGGCAAGTTACTTTGATGGCTTAGTAACTAAGACAGTGAGTAACTAAGCCATGGTCTCAGGTCTGCACTCAAAATATTTGGATGCCAGCAGGTGGAGCAGGAGGAGAATTACAATAACCTTTTCCCTGCATATTCTGAACAAAGTTATCCCAGGTTCAAACTAAGAATTCTGTGCTGAACTGCACATTTGGACATCGGGAGAGGACAGAGGTTGACTACACCGTTCCACCCTGTTGGTAATTGTGTACCACACATAACGGGGAAGAAAAACTCAAAGATAAAACTTGTGACAAAATGTTAACGTGACACCAAAATTGAATACAGTATGTTGTGATATGAAATGTAATAAATATTTTGGAATTATAAGAAAAAGCTGTCACACGAGTCAGTCGAATTCAGTCAGTTATTCTGTCTTTTCTTATATAGCACCTTTAAAATAATAAAACGTTGCAAGCACTTCACAACAGCATTATAAACAAAATATAACACCAGGTTATAAGAAGCATGTTAAAAGGAGGAAAGTAAGGTAAAGAGGTGGAGTGTTTTAGGACAAGAATCCGTGAGCTTAGGTCCAAGGCACTTGAAAGGTCGGCCACTAAGTGTATAGTGATTAAAATTAGACAAGGGCAAGAAGGTAGAATTAAATGAGTGCAAAGAACATGGAGGGTTGTGGGTTTCCAATAAAAAGATGCAAAACAAAAAACTTATTTCATGAAGCGCATTCAGTTTGTAATATAAAACTGTAATATAAAATATTTTAATTATAAACGTTTACCCCTTAAATAACCCAAACATATGCACAAACAAATGCACCCACCAGATAAAGACAAAAACATGATTTCTCTGCAGCCATTCACTTCTTAAAAAGAGACATATTTTATCTTTGTTTTTGAAGATAAGAAGGATGAGTTTTGAGTTATCAAGATAATGTTCTGTCCCCATACTGGCACAGAAAGACGGATGTTGCTAAATACATGCAATTATCTCTGGGAATCTTTGAAGATGCAGTCGATCAGGATATTTCAACACACTCTTCCAGAGGTTCCTTATGTGAGAGCAGCTGGACCTGGGCTCCAGCGGAAATCTTCTTTCTTTCAGCATGCTTTTCTCCAATGCAGCAAAACAGACTCTAAAGCAGAAACTGGAATCTGACAGCCGTCAGGCAGGTGGTCGCCAGTAAACAAACAGTTAACATGAAACTGACGACTACCAAGAAATGCCATGTTTAAAAAAAATTCAATGTCTTTTCATTGATTTCTTAAATATCAATTCAAGTATCCTTAATTTTCCAAACTCAGAGTCCACAAAAATGATCAAATATGAAGCCATCATAATTGGCAATATCAGATTAGGAAAACTGAGGTTAAAGGTTAGTATAGATAACACAGATTGATTTCAAACAGTCAGTCATTCAAAATAGCTGGATTTCAAGCACAAGGGAGAGAATAATTTAACATTTGTAATTCAGAAAATGTCAAAATAGTAACTACCCAACTCAAAGTTTCTTTTGACATAACAGCAGAATTAAAGCCCAGTTATTCTTCAGGTACTATTCATTATTTTAAACTTGCTGCAGATGTTTGATACAAGAGTACAGGAATACATGTAGAAGGAGCATAAAAGCTAGAGTTAGCCACTCAGCCCCTCAAGCCTGTTCTGCAATTTTGATCATGG